ACTTGAATCTGGGTTGAAATTCAGTTTCCACCTAATTTTCTGATTTTTTTTGAGTGTCTGTGACATGAGCTAAATGTGCAGTTTTACCTTTTCATTGCTCATTCTAATAGTTCTTTACCTAATATGGTTCATGGTTTGTTTAGAATGGTGCCAAAGGTCTGTACATAGGGTTGTTTAAGTAATAAAGGGTGTGGCTCTCTTAAGAGCTTGTACTCACAAGTTTTTCCTTGCTAGTTATTCTATTTCTTTCCTAAAGAAAGAAGTTATTCTTTATTTAAAAAAAAAAAAACACAACAAAAAACAGTCACAGTAAATTTTCTAGTTCTCTGTAATTTTCTTTCCATTCTGGTCTTCACTAGTTATAAATAACACATGAAATGGCTTTCAAGGTAGAAAACAAGAATCCATTTTGAAATGTTCTATAAAATAAAGAGTGATTTATGGTTTCATATGATTTGGACTGAAAGCACTCGGGCTTTGCCAGGTCATCAAAGTCCTGTCAGGGGAATCAATTATTTATTGTTCGATATGCTGGGAGTGGTGTAAGTACTTTATTTTATGGAAGTATAGTGTTAAGAAAAATCAATTCCAGGTACTAATACAGTTTTAAGAATAGATCATAAAGAACTGACCTAAATGTTACAGTTGTAAATGATGAGGTTTAACATTAAGAATTTGGATTAAAAGGGGATTTTGAAAAGTGAATTTTCATTCTTATAAAATGTTTTAGATAACATTCTTCAAACTATTATTTTTATACCTTTTTGTTCCTGATTTTACATCTCTGTTTTATTTAGACAGGTTTTGGAAAATTGTAGAAAGTTGAGACTGTACATGTTTGTTTGTTATATGATCATATAACATTCTGTAAGCTTCTAATATATTTTTTCTAGCTTCTAAGTGTATAACAGAACCTCATCTGAGAAGGGAAGGATGTAACACCTCAATTTCCCCCAGTATAAACTGTTATGAAATGCTAATTTAATACTTACTGTTTACCTGTGTTTGATAAAAATGACTTGCCAATAAAAGCTGTTGGTCTTGCATCAGAATTATACATTTTTCCTATAATCCTTTGACATGTTTATTTGATACAGCTTCACTAATGAATTTAATAATCATTTAATAATGTGAAATGTGTAAATGATACTGTGTTTGATGAACTTCTATAGTATACATATACAAAAAGCCTATAGTATACATATAAAAAGGTTATTGGACTTTTTTTTAAAGCTTTTAAGTTGTTAGATCTTTGAAGATAACTTAAGTAAATAGTAAACAAGTGATAGTTTTTTTCCTTCAAATAACTAATTTTATTGGATTAGGAAGAATACCAATATTTATTGAATGTCAGTGACATACTAGGAGGCACTGTATGAGGTGTTTTATGTCATTTTATACCTATTCCTCCCTACACCCCTATGAGATGTATTATTAGCCCCATATTTGAGCTGAAACCTTGTACTTGTGTATCTTTACTCACATATTTTACAGGGTGCTTTCAGTGTAATACTGTGTGGTTTGACCCTGATCTAGGTTATCTGCTTCTAACTCATGTATGGCTTTTCCTAGTGGGAGAGATTGTATAATTCATTACAAGCCTATGTATAGTTCATATAAATGCCCTCACAAGAATGGTGTGTGAATTTGCATAATGATTCAGAAGTAAGTAGTTCACTTTTTGTGGTGCCAAGTGTTAAAAAACGATTTTATTGAAATCAGTCAAATGATTTTAAATTATTAAAAACGAATTTGAAATCAGTTTAAATGTTATTAAATTGGCTTATAAATACCAATTAATAAAAAACAGTCATTTCACTTATTTTCCTGAGTTATTGTTAAGACCGCAAAGTTTAGTACGTTAATTTTATTCCTAAACGAGAATTAAAAAAACAAACTCTGACACTTAAAGTTCAAATTTAATACAAGTTCATTCTTCATTCTGTGAATAGAGTTGTTTTTCTGATCATATAACATTCTTTAAGCTTCCAATGTGTTTTTTCTAGCTGCCAGTTCTTCTGGCTGCTGTTCTTCTGGCTAAAATCCTTTCAAGACTCTATGTTGCTTATAAGGTCAAAGTCAGACTCCACAGTTTGCCTCCAACCACTCTTTTTGAGCATCACCGTTTGGTTCTCTTTTCCTTCACCCTTTACCAGGAATATTCTCTTCCACTTTCCTTTTTCCTTCCACATTTTTCTTCTACACTCTTCAGTTGGGCTGTTACAGATCCTGAAACAGCCATCTAATGTCCCCTGCTCTTTGGAGTTTTCCGTGACTCCCTTGTACAGAGGAATGTTTTTCCCCCCATTGTGTTCCTATAAGTTTTAATTACATTTGTTATTTAAATTTGTATTCTTTACACTCTGAACTATTTTAGCTAGGACTTGCCGTAATCTTAGCTGTTTTTCACTCACTACCTATCATAGTCTACTCCATCCCTCTCTCCCTTTCCTTTCCCCATTTTCTTTTTCTTCTTTTCTTTCCTTCAAAAAAAAGTATTTACAGAGAAACTACCATGTGCCTCTTCTGTTCAGGAACTCATGGTTTATTAAATGGGTAGGAAGAAATTTAAAATCCTGGCCAGGAAGATATTACTAATTGTATTATCAGACTTATTTTATTCATTCTAAGCATGAAGTTAATAGGCCCATTTAACAGGGTCAGCCTATAAATTTCACAAACTTGTGGGATGCCTGGATGGAAGCATTAAGGGAAAACAAATGGTAGTCATTTTGGTTTTATGTAATTTGGACTCAAATAATATTCATTATTGAAATCCATTCTTAGCTTTGCTTTGTCAACAGAGACATGACTTCTGACAGTGTTGATCACAGCCGTGGAAGTAACTACATGCTAACCACATGTGTATTTGCCTGTCCAAAGCAACAGCTAATTTGGGCCAAATAGAGGAGAGTAATTTTATTATTGTTTGCCATTGGAGTGGGCATTTGGTAAAAATAGGTTTATATTTAGAGTAGTATTTAGATGAAAATGTAGTATTTTAAAACTCTTTCTGAAGAATAATAAAAGTAGACAGTGTTTATAGAGCAAGTACTCTCTGCTAACAACTGAATAATTCTATGAGGTAAATGGTGGTATTCCCATTAATGAAGAAACAAAGGCTCAGAGAAGTCAAGTGACTTTTCTGAGGTCACACGGCTGGTTAAGCAGCAAAACTAAGATTCAGGTCTAGGTCTGTGTGACTAGACCATTCCCATTTCATTGCCTTGCTGTCCTGCACTTACATCCTCATCCTTAGACTCATATCCAAGTTGGAGAGAGTGAACTTACTGTGGTAATTTGAATTTGAGATGCCGAATTACTGAATTACTTGGTCTTTGGTAAGTTATTTAACCTTTTTCATCCCATTTCTCACATGGGTAATACTACCTTCCTCCCAGGATTATAATGAGGAATAAATGAGATGATGTATGTCAGATATATATTGTGAATCATAAAAGCCCTATGCTAATGAATGTTTGATAAGTATTATTAATGCTGCCATTATTACATACTTTTAACATACTAATTGCTTCCTGAATATTTCTTTGCTGTTGTCCCTCTTAACTAAGCTGCATAGCATCTTTTAAAGTACCATAGTGACTGCATTTAATTAAGAAAAGTTATTTTTTTAGGTATAAAAAGTTGAGATAGTAAAGATAAAAGACATTAGCACAATACAATTTTAACTGTTTGAAGAAGTATGCTTAACTGTTTAAAACTCTCCTTTCTTGCCTCCCACTTCCTTGTACACCACAAATTCTTCCTCTGTTTTTTCTTTGAATTATATCTGAAGTTGAAATTTTATGATGACTTAGTTCTAATAGTTGATGTTTAATGGCTGTATACAGTACATTTGGTCAAAACTTCTTTTTTGAACCAAGTCTTAATATAGCCACAAAGTGTTCACTACTGGGAAACTCTAGTTCTTTGGTGAATGTAGCTGGAGCTTCTCTTTAATGTGGTCTTTAATTAGAGATCTACTATGTAAATTGCTTCCATATGCATATTTGCATATTGCTTTTACATAAAGAGGATAACTTCCATTTTCTTGAAATCCTTGATGCATAGTGTGTAGTTTAAATGCTTACCAAAAGAATGGTGAGGATTAGGGTGTTTTCATTGTAGTGAAAAAGTTTCAGAAAATGCTTTGTTTATTTGACTTACAGAAAAGATTTAATGTCCTCTGTTGAAATGGTAGATCTTATGATAAAGTTATAGAATAGTCTTGAACTTAAAACGTACGGTATTAACTGGCCGATATAACTGAACACCTGATTTTTTAAATTATAAAATCATTATCTTTGGTAATTTTTTATTGTTTTTGTTGGTATAGAGAGTAGTAATATATATTTCCTTTTATGATAACCAATATTATGGTGTGGCTTAATGTGATTCCAAAACAGTAATGTTCCTTTTAAACTGTTGTATTAACCAGAAAGTAAAATACTATATCGTGTAAATGGCCTCTTTTAAAACTAGCTAACCTATTGTGTAAATGAATGTATGCCATTCCCTGTCACAGGCACTGTGGCTTTGGAGTTAGATTTTGGTTCAACTTTCAACTCTAGAACTTTTTTATTTTCATAGAGCATTGGGCAACAAGTTAACGTATTTGCACCCCAGTATGCAGATGCTTCTCTCTCAATGCAGTTGGGATAATCAAATGAGCTAGTGTGTGAACATAGTTCCTAAATAACAAAGTGCTCTATGAACAGTTTTTGACAGTTGCTCATTTATGGTAATTTGCTGATAAAAATAATTTAAGTACTTGGTTTTAAAAAATATCTCTTCCACATAATGAGATTTTCAGCATTAGTAGTCTAAGAAACATCCAATGGTATAAAAATATACACGTTATAGTTTAAAATACAAAGATGAACCTATTTTGTTAAACCGTCCTGTACAGCTATGGCATGAATTGAATATTTTGCATTTTATATATATATAATATATATATATTTCTACATTCTGAATGATATAGGTGTATGTTTTTATAGGTTTGCCTGAATCCATCATTGCAGCTGCATGTTCAAGAAGTGGCCAGAGGGTTCTACATGTTGATTCGTAAGTTTATCAATGATAGTATTTAATACTTCCTAAATATCTCTGTACAAAGTGAAAAAATTAAATATATACATGTGTACATATATGTCACATTATAAACTTTTCAAGTTAGAAAAATGATTGGAATTAATTTTCACAAAATTAATAATGAAATATATAATGAACAAGTCTTACTATTATACTGTGTAAAATAGGTGATGTTTCCCTTAAGAATAAATCAGATATACCATAATTTTATTCTTCTCATGAGTGATTTTGTTTTTTAAATGATAAATAATTCTCCATTTGTGTGGGCATATACAACCTGTACATGCAGTTGTATTTTAGGTATTGTATTAGACTGTTGAAAAACAAAGCTAATAGATTTATAGTATGTGGTTTTAATCAAAATTTAAACTATTAGAAAATCTTAACTGAGAAAAATATCTAGAAGTTTTTTTACTTTTTCTCTTAAATGTCATTATAAAAAGGAAGTTAATGAAAAATTCAAGTTTATGGTAAAGCTTAGTGTAAATCTCTTCTTCATTCCTGTTTCCTCCTGAAACAAATCCCTAACTTTTCACGTACCTATTTAGTGCTTTTGAACATTGTACCTTGACACTTTAATTGTTCATGAAATAGGAGTAACTCATTTCTACAAGTTCAAGAAGATTGAAATCATATCATGTATCTTCTTGGATCACAGTGGCATGAAATTAGAAATCAACTACAATAAAAACACTAAATGACATTTAAACACATGGAGATTGAAAAGCATGTTTTTAAACAATGAATGGGTTACCAAAGAGATCAAGGAAGAAATAGAAAGCTTCCTGGGAACAAATGAAACTAAACACACAACAACTCCAAATCTTGGGACACAATGAAAGCAGTCCTGAGAGGGAAGTTCATAGCATGACAAGCCTACCTCAAAAGACAAGAAAAACTTATAATAGACTCTCTAACCCTACAACCTAAAAACTTAGAGAGAGAACAACAAGAAAAGCCCAGAGTAAGTAGAAGGAAAGAAAGAATAAAGATCAGAGCAGAAATAAATGACATAGAGACTAAAAAAACAATACAAAAGATCAATGATACCAAGAGCTGATTCTTTGAAAAGGTAAACAAGATTGATGAACCTTTAGCCAGACTCATGAAGAAACAGAGTGGACCCAAATAAACGAAATCAGAAATGAAAGAATTTAAATAACAGCTGACCCAACAGAAATAGAAAGCATTGTAAGAAAATACTATGAACAACTATATGCCACCAAACTGGACAACCTGGAAGAAATGGATAAATTCCGAGAAAAATACAACCTTCCAAAACTCAATCAGGAAGAGTCAGAAAGTCTAAATAGGCCAATAACTGCTGATGAAGTTGAAGCAGTAATCAAAGGGCTCCCAGCACACAAAAGCCCTGGCTGGGATGGCTTCACAGGGGAGTTTTACCAAACACTCAAAGAAGAATTAACACCTATCCTCCTCAAACTATTTCAAAAAATCCAAGAGGAAGGAACACTTCCAAACTCTTTTTACAAGGCCAGCATTAGCCTAATTCCAAAACCATATAAAGACACTACAAGAAAGATAATTACAGGCCAGTATCCCTGATGAACCTAGATGCTAAAATCCTCAACAAAATATCAGCAAATTGGATCCAGCAATATATTAAAAAGATCATACACCATGACCAAGTGGAATTTATTCCAGAGATGCAAGGGTGGTACAGTATTCGCAAATCAATAAACATGATACAACACATAAACAAATTGAAAGTTAAAAATCACATGATCTTATAAATAGATGCAGAAAAAGCATTTGATAAAATCCAACACCCTTTTTTGATAAAAACTTAGCAAAGTGGGAATAGAGGGATCATACCTCAACATAATAAAGGCCATATATGATAAACCTACAGCAAACATCATATTCAGTGGGCAAAAACTAAAATAATTTTCCCTAAGAACAGGAACAAGACAGGTGTCCCACTTTAACCACTCTTATTCAACAGAGTACTAGAAGTCCTAGCCACAGCGATCAGACAAGAAGAAAACATCAGAGGCATCCAAACTGGAAAAGAGGAAACAAAACTGTCATTATTTGCAGATGACATGATATTGTACATAGAGAATCCTAAAGACTCCTCCATAAAACTAGTAGATTTAATAAATGAATTCAGCAAGGTAGTAGGATACAAAGTTAACACCCAGAAATCAGTGGCATTTTTATACACCAATAATGAACTCTCAGAAACAGAAACTAAAAAAAAATCCCATTTACCATTGCAACTAAAAAAAAATAAGATACCGCCCGCTGGGTGTGGCTCAGCTGTTGATCGTCGACCTACGATCCGGGCAATCAGGGTTGGATTCCCGGTCAGGGCACATGCCCGGTTGCGGGCTCAATCAGTGACCCTCTCATCATTGATGTTTCTCTCTCTCTCTCTCCCTCTCCTTTCCTCTCGGAAATCAATAAAGATATATTTAAAAAACAACAACAACAACAAAACAAACAAAAAACCAAAGGCTATAACAAGAAACAAAGAACGACTCAGCAACTCCATTTCTGAGTATTTATCCAAAGAAACCCAAAACACNGTAGATGTAAAAGACCTTTACTCGGAAAACTATAGGACGCTGAAAAAAGAAATAAGGAAGATTTAAACAAATGGAAAAATATGTTATGTTCATGGATCGGAAGAATTAACATCATTAAAATGTCCATATTACCAAAAGCAATCTATAAATTCAATGCAATCCCTATTAAAATACCAACAAATTGTTCCAACAGATTTAGAACAAATACTTCGAAAATTTATATTGAACTAAAAAACATCCCGAGTAGCCATGGCAATCCTGAGAAAGAAGAACAAAGTTGGAGGGATCACAAAACCAGATATCAAGTTATATTTCAAAGGCATTCTAATCAAAACAGCCTGGTACTGGCACAAGAACAAACATATATTGATCAGTGGAACAGAACAGAGAACCCAGAAATTGACCCACGTCATTTTTGTCAATTAATATTTGACCAAAGAGGAAAGAACATACAATGGATTAGAGACAGTCTTTTCAATAAATAAATGGTGTTGGGAAAATTGGACAGGTATCTGCAAGAAAATGAAACTAGACCACCAACTTACACCATACACAAAAGTAAATTCAAAATAGATAAAAGACTTAAATGTAAGACATGAACCCATAAAAATCCTAGAGGAAAACCTAAGCAGCAAAATCTCAGACATCTCTCATAGCAATATGTTTGCTGATACATCTCCTAGGGCAAGAGAAACAAAGGAAAAAATAAACAAATGGGACTGCATCAAAATAAAAAGCTTCTGCACAGAAAAAGAAACCATCAACAAAATGAAAAGGGTTCCACTGTATGGGAGACTATATTTGCCAACGATTCATTGGATAAAGGGTTAATATCTAAAATATATAAAGAACTCATACAACTTGACAAAAGGAAGACAAACAGTCCAATTAAAAAATGGGCAAAGGACCTAAATAGACACTTCTCCAAAGAGGACATACAAGTGGCTAAGAGACATATGAAAAAATGCTCAATGCTGTTTATCATCAGAGAGATGCAAATTAAAACCACAATGAGGTATCACTTCACACCTGTAAGAATGGCTGCCATCAACAAATCAACGAACTACGAGTGCTGGCGAGGGTGTGGAGAAANGCCATCAACAAATCAACGAACTACGAGTGCTGGCGAGGGTGTGGAGAAAAGGGCACCCTAGTACACTGCTGGGGGGAATGCAGACTGGTGCAGCCACTATGGAAAGCAGTATGGAAGTTCCTCATAAGATTAAAACTTGACCTGCCATTTGTCCCAGGGATTCCACTGCTAGGAACATATCCTAAGGAACATGAAACACCAATCACAAAGAACTTATGCACCCCTATGTTCATAGTAGCACAATTTACAATAGCTAAGATCTGACAACAGCCCACGTGCCCGTCAGTAGATGAGTGGATAAAAAAGCTGTGGCACATTTATACCATGGAATACTATGCAGCTATAAAAAGAAGGATATTTTATCCTTTGGCACAACATGGAGCGAACTTGAACGTATTATGCTAAGTGAAATAAGCCAGTCAGAGAAAGACAAGTACCACATGATCTCACTTATATGTGGAATATAAGAAACAAAATAAACTGATGAACAAAGTGGATCCAGTGACATAGAAGCATGGAACGGACTACGGAATCTAAGAGGGAAGGCGGGGAGGACGGTGTGTGGGTGGGGAGAGATTAATCAAAGAACTTACATGTTTATAAGCATAAGCCATGGACACAGACATTGGTATGGGAAAAGTCTGGGGGCGCGATGGATGTGGAGTGGAGGGGATCAATGGGGATAAAAGGGGACATCTGTAATATTCTCAACAATAAAGATAAAGAAACTTAAAAAAATAGGAGTAATAAAGAAACAAAAAGAAAAGGACTTTATATTTTCTGTTATATATTAACTGCAATGTTTTTCGTAATGCCAGAATACAAAGAGTAACTAGATTTGTTATAGTTTATAGTGCTTTCTCATATGTTACCCCACTGTATATATGTAGGTATTTAAAAGGGAGTATTAGTTCATTTCCATTTAACCCTTTGTAAATTATTTTGAAAGCCTATTAACTCTTTAGTTATTGGATGACATTTCTAAATTAGGTTCAATTTTCAAACAAGTCTTGCCCTTGGAATTCTCTTTAATTATTTATGTGTAACTGCTTGTGTTAATGTTTCAATTTAGTCTTTTTTGAAATCTGCCACCTTTAAATCCCTGGTACTGAGCCAGTGTGATTTACAGGCTTAATAAAAATCTAAATTCAGTTTTTTTTCTGTTAATGTTAATTAACCTAAAATTAAAAATAAAATCTTAAATTTCCCTAAATTGTCATTTATTGTGCTTGTACTCTACACTACTCACCATATCAGATTCGTTACACATGTTATGTAGTTTAATTCCCATCACAGCCAAGTGTGAGGTAGATGGTATTATGCCAATT